TGACAAATCCATTCATTCTCATCGGCTTCCTTAATCTGTTTTATCTCCTAAAATTTTTTCTAGTTCATTAAAATACCTTGACAGTGCCTCTCCCACTCTATCGATCTGCTCTCCTTTTTTGCACTCTCTCACCACTCTCTTCACCTTGCATTTACTCTCCATATACTCTTCTCTCTTCTTGTATATGCTTCTGCTTGTAAAAACCTCTCATAAACAACAATTTTTTTCTTTTATCACACACCTTTACTTCATCATTCTACCTATCTCCCTCCTCTTTCCATCCTGCCCCCACCCTCCTATAGCCACAAACTTCTGGCCCGGACATTCTAATACGCAATTTTTTAAATTATTCCAACCCCTCTTCAACCCTCCTTACCTACTAATACTTGCACTAGCTCACCTTTTCTGCAAAAGTTGCTTAAACTCGCCCTAACTTCCTCCTCCCTAAGTTTATACACTTCCACAATCCCCGCTCTACCTTGTTGTTTCCATTTTCCCTTTCATCCCCATCTACCTCATACTGCTAACTGTAGCTACAACTGATAAGATCCGATATATCAGTTGCCCTCTATAAATAGTATGTAGTATGTATTGTATATTATATATATATACATGTATATATAATATATAATATATATTTATAAATATATCGAAATATATATGTATTATAACTATATATATATATATATATAATATATATATAAATATATAGTACAATATAAATATATATATATATATATATATAATATATATTTATATTACATATATATTATATAATATATATATATACAGTAGACCCTCGACCAATGTTGCATCGGATCTAAAACGTTAAATCTGACTAGCGATACATTTAACTGCACAACATTTTGCCTCGACTAGCGCAAAAAGCCCGACCAACGCTAGTTCGTAATTTCCGTTCGAGACGCGTCCACGTTTGTGCCTGAGCGCACCTCACATTCTTGTCCCGTGGGTGCCAGTGTTTTTACAAGCAAGCCAGCCACCGGCGGTCCCATCCAAACATACAACGGAACACTACATAATTTCGCAGCATTTGTAGTGATTGCACCTGCAAAACAAAAGTTCGCCCATTGGTCCCCAAGAAAGCTCTAGTGCCCACCCACAGCAAAACAGGGTGAGAATACTAAGGATATGAAGAAAGAGATCATTGCTAAGTATGAAAAGTGGAGTGCCGGGACTCCGAGCTGGAGCCAGGTATGACACAATAACGCCCAATCAACCATCACATACTAATGTTGGGCAAGAAAATGTCAATTAAGGAAGCTGTTCTATCTTAGCCAAAGGTGCACCTATGTTTTATTGAAACTGAGATTGCAATTGATAGAAGATGTTGAGAGACTAGTTTATTGGTGTGGATCAACGAAAAACAGATAGCATGGAGATAGCATCAACTCGAGCGATCATATGTGAAAAGCTAGTAAGTTGCATGACAGTTTAATTAAAAAAATGCCAGCAACTAGTGGTGATGTGCGTGAATTTAAGGCCAGCAAAGGTTGGTTGGAGAGATTTAAGAATCGTAGTGGCATTACATAGAGTGATAAGGCATGGTGAGGCTGCCAGTTCGGGACCACAAAGCGGCTAAAATATGTGCAGAATTCAAGAGTACATAGATAGTGAAGACAGAAACCTGAACAAGTGTTTAATTGTGAACGAAACAGGCCTTTTTTAGGAAAAAATGCCAAGTCAGAACCTACATTACTCAGGAGGAAAGGCCCTCCATGACATAACCCTATGACAGAACAGGCTTACTCTGTTTATGTGTGCCAATGCTAGAGGAGATTGCAAAGTGGAGCCTTATTGGTGTATCACTCTGAAACCCCGTGGGGAGGGTGTTCAGGAAAAACAACGTCCTCAAGGTCAAAATTTGTGTGTGATGTGGAGGGCAATCAACAGTAAGGGCGTGGGTCACTAGGGACTTTTTTCTACACACAGGGGGGGGGGGGGTGACTGTTTACACCAAGCATATTTGCCCCCACTGTGAAAAATTACCCCCTGGAAAATAAATTGGACCATAAGTGCCCTCCAGTATTAGACAAGCTACCTGTGATCCTTCAGACGTGGCAGAGCGACTTTCTGCAGACATTAATCTACGATTAAATCAGTTTTAGCCTTCCTAATACCACTCCTCTCTCCTGCAGAGCCCATGGTACCACAGGTCATGTTCCAACTTCAAGAAACTTTACACAGAAAGCTATGTTTGAAAGGTCATAGTAGTGACCTCAGAAACTCAACTGAACTCTAAGAGAGAGGTTTTGGAGAGAACACTTTAGCATACTCAATTGTGTAAACAATATAGGTAAGGCTTGGAGTACGGGACTAAGAGGACCTTGAACTCTGCTTGGAAAAAACTGTGGCCAGAATGTGTAGACAAAAGGGAGTTAAAGGGGTTTGAGGCTAACCCTAGGAATCCTATGCCAGTTGAGGAATCCATTGTGGCATTGGGGAAGTCCTTGGGGGTTGGGAGGTTAGTGGGAGGATGTGGAAGAGTTGGTGGAGGAGGACAATGAAGAACTAACCACTGATAGCTGCTAGATCATCTTCCCAACAGCAACAGGCCACACCTGAGGAAACTGCTTTGGAGGGGGGATAGAGAAATTGAAGAAGTTGCCTACTTTAAAGATTAAGGAAATGTGTGCAATGTGCTTAAAATGCAAACCTTTTTTGATGAAAATCCACCCTGACAGCTACTGCAACCTGTTGGAACCTGTACACTGACAATGTTGTGAAACACTAGGAATGACTGGAGGTACAGGCCTCTATAGACAGATATTTGTGCGACAGAATCCAGTGACTCTCAAGCTGGTCCTAGTGCATTAACAGAAGGGAAGTAACCCCGAAAAGGACTTGCCACCTCAAGTCTTTTAAAGGAAGGGGATTCCCCTTCTAAACACTAACACCATCAACACTCTCCCCCTCTTCCCATCCCATCAATCATCACCAGATCTTCAATAAAGGTAAGTGTCATGTAACTGTGCATGTCTTCTTCAGTTTGTGTGTATTAAAATTAATAATTCAAAGTGGGAAAAATTTTTTTTTTCATACTTTGGGGTTCAGGGAACGGATTAATTTGATTCTATTATTTCCCTTTTGGGGAAAATTAACTCGAGTAACGATAATTTCGAGTAAACGATGACTCCCAGGGAAAAGATTAATATTGTTGTCGAGGGTCCACTGTATATATACGTACATTATATATATATAATATATATAATATATATATATAAATATATAAATAATATATAATAATAATATATATATATATTTTATATATATATATATATATATATATATATATATATATATTATATATATATAATATATATATATAATATAATATATATATATATAAAATATAAATATAATATATATATATATAGGGGGGTAAGTCTGTTGAGTGTACCTGTAAAGTGTATGGGAGAGTTATAATTGAAAGAATTAAGAGTAAGACGGAGAATAGGGTAGCAAAATGAACAAGGGGGCTTAGGGAAAGGTAGGGGTGGTGGGACCAGGGGTTTTTTCAGGAAACAATAAGGAACAGTATTTAGATAAGGGAAAGAGGTCTTTGTGGGATTTATGGATTTGAAAAGGCGAAAGACGGGGTGGATAGGGGGCAATGGGGGCAGATGTTGCAAGGTAGGGTTAGGGGGTGGGTTTACGAAAGCAGTGAAGATTTTTTTAACGAGGAAAGTGGGGCCAATAGATAAATAGGAAAGAGGGAAATTTTTTCCCCATAAAAGTAGGCCAGACAAGGATGTTGAGCACCGGGTTTTTTAATATATTTATAGATGGGGTTGTAAGAAATAAAGCGAGGGTCTT